TTGACAAAATCTATTATTTGAGGTCCAAATCAATTAAAGTTATAAATTAGATGTTAGTATTTGATAGTAGTTTTGAACATCAATATAGTACTCTTAAAAAATTTGTTTGAAGATGGTTTGGATCATATATGGTAGTAACAGTATATAAAAATGCTATCTATTTATTTCATGAGTTGGATGGTATGATGTTGAAGATATTTGTAGTTGAAAAGTAAATATATCCATTTAAGAAAAGAGATGGCAAAGTTATTCAAGTAATCTTTCAAATTTTAAAACATTAAATTTGAACCAAATGGAAGATACACAAACAATTAGAGATGATAAAATAAAAAATGATGGTTAGATTAGCACATGTCAAAAGATGTGCAAGTTTAGAAGAGATGGATGTTATGTTAGAAGGCAATATAATGTATAAGAATAATATGAAATTTTATGAAATTTTAGATTATAATTAAAAATAATATATATATATATATATATATATATATATATATATATGATTTTATCTAATTTATTTAAATTTGTAGTTTAAGTTTTAAGGAATAGAAGATTTAGGATTTATTTGTAAAAAATTTAGATGTGCTTTGAAGCCAAAAATATAATATTTTGATTCTTAGGCTATTCTATGTAGATAGATAAGATGAGTGACAGAGGACTTCATTTCTATTGGTTGAAAATCATATCTAATGGACTTCAAGATGTTATCTGGGACCACACTAGAGTTTGGAACCACTTTAGAGCAACCTATTTGAGGCAAGGCAGACCATTCAAGGAAAAGAAATGTATTCAAAGTTTAGAGGTTGGATTTAAAACATTTGTAATTTGGACTAGAATTTAGATGAAACAAATGTTTGATCTGAAGTTATAATAGGAAAATTATGTTTTTTTAAAATTAGGGTGTAATTTTGGTACCTATTGTTACTATTTTATGCATATAAAAAATTATAACAAAATTTTAAAGAATAAAAAAATAAGATTCAAAAGTAGACTTAAAAATCTATATTTAATATAAAAAATTGATACATTCTAATCTAGGATAAAGAAAAAAGAACTATTGGAAGTTAGTATTTAAAACTAAAAATTATAAGAGAGTTGTTTTTAATAGAGGTTTTAATTTTTGCCATATCTTGAGTTTTTGGATGAATTTTTGGATTGAAATTTTTGGATCAAATATAAATAATAATGTTAAAAATTTGCATATGAAGAATTTATAATATTTAAATTTTAGATTTTTAAGATATGAAGGAATTAACATGTAAGTACTTAGAAATTAATACATTTAATATTTATTAGAAATTAGGAAATATCCAAAGATTTAAAATAAATTTATAAATAAAATTTTGTATAGAGATAGTTAAGGATATAAGTTAACTTGTGGAAAATTTCGAACCCAATTAGACAATTAGATTAAAAGTTATTGAATGATACATATTTGGAAGGAATCTTTAGAGGAATAGAAGTGATTTTAAGATATCTAGTCACATCTTAGGTACTCTTATACATCTTAGACTTATATATTTGATGGAATTATCTTCTTGAAGACAAGCTATAAATCATATTTGTATTTTATAATCTTGCAACTTGTTTGAATGATTAGTGGCAGCTATAGGCCTAGCACTTTCTTGATGCAACTCTCTTTATTATGAAAACATATAAAAGCAAGACTTCCTAGATTTGGTTGTGAGGTCAATCTTTTTGCTTTCTTCAACTTCACAACTTCTTTACATAGATTCTAAATTTCTTCAATGGGCATAGGATTAATTTTTTTGTGAATGATATTCATGATGCGTGAAATTTCCATCCTAATAGTATTCACAAGTTTATAAAAATGTGCAATAATTGCAAATCTATTTTTACTTCTGCCAAGTGTAGCATCTATAATCTTTCCTTCTATTTCAAATAATTTAAGAAATCCATAAGTTAAATTAAAAGAAGGTAATCCACAACCTCTAATGTCAAATAAATTTTTTTACAATGAGAGATAATTAACTCTATTTGAAAAAAAAATCAATGTTAAATGATTAAATAATTTCTTTAATGGTGAATAATTCACAACCTTCAAAACACAACAATAGAAGTAGAATAATTTACTCACTTCAAAAACAAGATAAAAATAATAAGTTAGGACTCTTATCAAATTATCAAGGATATCAACTTTAAAGAAGTAAATGTCAATACACTCTTATATCATTTGAAAAGACTTAAAAATCACTCAAAGATGATACAATATTAAACTAAAATGACTATTGCTTAAGACATGAAGCTTAAAAAGTCTTAAAATAAGACTAAGTACTAAAAAGGCATTGACAAGAGTAAAGAAGGCTTTATTCTTATCTCCATATATATTCTTAACTAGGAGCTATAGAGCAATGTCCTATAAGACCTCCAAAATATGTTGACTTTGCAAGAATTGTATCTTAACTTGCAAGGCAGGTTTTCTATGTGTGCCACATAATTAGCTTGATTTATAAGCTGCAAACATGTAGTTAATTTGTTGACAAAGTTTCTAATCCATCAATCAACTACAAATACATGTAAAGTTAAAGAAATTTCTATGAAGCTTTCAGGAAGCTTTTTTAGAAAATATTATAAAATAAATTTATTTTATTTATTTTTATTTAATCATATAAATAAATATTAAAACAAATATGTATGCTTGTAAAAAAAATCCATATACTTCTAAAATAAGATATGAGCAATGAATTATTAATCTTATCAAATTATTTACAACATGAATCTTAAAGAAAGAAAATTTCAATACACTCTTCTGTCACTAAGAAAGACTAGAAAATCATTCAAAGATAGTAATATATTAAATTAGAATGGCTATTACAAAAGACAAGAAGACTAAAAAGTCTTGAAATGAGACCAAGGATTAGAAAGGTATTGACAAGAGTGAAGTAGGCTTCACTTTTGCTCCTATATATACTCTAAAATTAGAAGCTACATTATAATATTGTATCTCAATTATATAATAAAAATATGAAAAAAAATGATATTATGATTTACACTTTGTCATATTAGTTCAAAGATAATTTTAGACATTTAAACAAAGATTTTATGAAAGCCTCTTAATTAATTTTTTTGTTTCAATAGCTAATAGACAAAGAAATTATTACTTGAACTTTATCATCAACCTTCAAGTTAACAACTCAAGGATACCAATATGATTCTTTTATATTTTTTTCATAGTTTGTAAGTTGGATTGAATTGAAATTTTTTAAAAATATAGAAGACATATTATTTTACTAGTATGCAGAATTTTATACCAATTGAAAGCTTAGATCAAAAATTACAACAAATTGAAGCTCACTACCTAAGATTAGGATTTGGAGAAAAAATTGGAAGTTGTAGAAAAAGACAAATAATAAGATAATTAGGATTTATATTTGCTTGAGGTAATTAAAAATAATATTTTTTATTACTTTGCATTAGATTTAAATCCTTTTGCATTGAAGTCATTGTTAGTATGTAGAAAGCTTAAATATTTTGGTGATATGTTGTAATATTTAATTTTTAATTTTTCTTAAAGTTTTTTTCGTTTGCAATAAATTGTAGGTTTTGTTATCAGCATTATTTCTCAATTTGTAGGTCAATCATGGTTGTTGTATTGGAAGGTCCTTTTTATATAGAAATGCTTTGCAAAGATAATTAATGTGTAATTTTTTTGTAATTAACTCAATGAAAATGTAACTTTGTATCATATCCAGGTTTTATTTCATGTCCAAAGTTTATCCCTACTTGTTAAATCCTTTAATCATGTGTGTTAAACTTTTAGTAAACTTTTTGTAAGAAAATAGTTACTGTGAATTGTTTTAATACAAACTAATTTTCTAGAAGCATTAGTCACTTTTTTTTTCTTTTTAATAAATTTGCACTATTAGGTATGTGCTCAAAATACCTCTTTCAAAACCCTAATTTTAATATATGCATACAAATGTATATACACATGTAGACCTGCATGGTTTTGAAACATCAAGTAGTAATTCAATTTGTAATATAAAATTCATGACAATTCTGATCATGGACTATGTTGCAATATGAAAGAAATGAAATTACAATTGTTGCTATTCTTTTTTCGAAAATGAAATAAAATAAAACATCCTTCCAAAATTAAGTTTGTGAACAAAGTTTGCCCCAATTCGGGAATGGAGTCGACAAACATGTCACTGAATCGATCAATTTAATAATAAGTAAATACTTTATATTTACATAACACATCTTTGAAAACTTCATTCTTTAAAAACTTCACCTCTGTCCACACCACTTTGAAGATGCATCTAATTTTCTTCACAAAATTCTGATTGCATACCAAACACTGAAAATTCACATGAACAAAATTCTCAAACTCACTTTACATAAAACACGCGAAGCAGGAGCAAATAGGAAAAGACGAAGAAAAGCACACAGCTCGCATGTGAAGTGAACACTAAAGCCGCTCCATTGGTAATTGTAACACAATTTGCAGAATCAATCTGATCCACAACCAAACATACATTGAAACTTGCCAGTTGCTCATGTCTTTGGATCTCCTCCATATCTCAATACAGATATCAAAAGCCCTCCATATTCTATGTTTCCTGGTTATATTAGTTGAGCCTCCATCTCATGCAACTCAGTCTGGCAGCATTCATGGCATTCAAGTTGTACCACTTGTCCAGTGAAGAGTTATTGAAATCTACTACTGTCGAAGTGTCAGGGTCCTGTGTTCAGAGCTTCTCCTTGCTGACGCTGACCATTGTGACAAAATGTAAATTCAAAAGTCAAGAATATACTTAAATCAATATGACAGAGTAGGTGCACACTACAATTTTTTAACAGCAACAATGGTGGTATCTTATTGTAAGTTTTCAGTTGTCTTATATTGAGAGGAGTCATTACTTTTAGTGCTCAGGAAATTTCTTCCTAAATAGAGCAAGCAGTCCAACTGTGCCCAGCAAGCACATGGCACATAATCCGTCGTTACCAAAAATCACATTTCTACTTTCTCAAAGAACGAGTGCACATTGTATAATCTCATATTTGATAGCATGAAACCAGATTACAAACTGGGTTTCACATAATTCAGACATCAAAGCTGGCGCAGAATATTAGGATAGAGGAACAAATGAATGTGTCGGAAATAGGTACAAACGATATTAACCACAGCTTGCTAACCAGGATTCGGCATTTTACCACAAAACAAGAAAGCCTAAATGGACATATGCTCTTTCACGATAATGACTGAATTTCAACATCCTAACCTAAATGCTCCCTTGCCATACTTCCATACTTCACCAATCCTGCACAGATAATGCGCCAATGACAGCACCCGTGGTGCTGAAGGTGGATGAAACGTCAGGTAGAGATTGCCATTCCGTATCAATACATGTACCAGCATTGAGCCAGGGCTTCACAGCCTGACTAAAAATGTCCAAATTCGGTGAAAGAATTGCTTCCCAATCCACCTGTCAAGTGCTCAAAAACGAAGGTAAGGTAGGTTGGTGAATCCTGCAAAGAATACTTAAATACCGTTTCCCAAAGAAAGAGACGGCATAGGTCCGTATAACAGTTTCATCTTAGTTCAATTACAAACTAACATAGCTCTCTGTGTAATCATGAAGAAATAGAAGCTTAGTATGAAGTTATTATTGCATGCTCGATTAACATGCAGCTTAACATTCTTTCTTAGAACTCAGAATCACATACCGACAAGCATCATCAGGGCTTCAACAACTAAATTTTTCACAACCATCCGCCAACTGCGTTCGAGATAATAATATACCTGGAAGTTTTTCGGTACGGAAGTGGTGATCTTCATGTTGGCAGCAAGGAATAATCCTAACAATGTGATATAACCCACAACAGCTGTGCCTCTTGCCAGTGGCATGAAATTGTACCTGGATATACAGATGCTGTGAGCTAGACATTCATGCCACCACTGCTACTTGAACAGATTCTATTGATTAGAAACCAGCAACCACTTGAATTAGAAAAATGCAAATTATTCCAACTCTTTGCAGCCATCAATGTCCTGAACACGCTTGCAATTAGTACTCCCAGACTGCATAAACGCTGATGTATTGGTATATATTGTAAAATGCACATCGATTCCAGTGAGAAGCTGTGTTGAAGAGCGCACCAATAGAATGAAAGCCTTAATATGCATTCACGCACATTCTCCAGATCAGATAGCTCCAATGATCCATAAGCTTTATTGCAATATGCATCACACAGTGCCTATTTCACAAGCCCAATTCCATCAATGGAGAGAAACACTCTAGGAGTGTTCTCAACTAATCAAGCCTCCTATGTGTGTAGGAGGTGTCATGAATAGAACTAGAGTAGCAAAAGATAGGAGCAAGGCTTAAATAAATCATGCCATGTTTTAAAAGGTCCCCCTAGCACTAATGATGCACATGCTTTGCAACCCATTATGGAAAAAGCCTAATAAGATACTATGTACGAGGTAAATACCTGCCACGCAGCTGACAATTCGACATCATAATCTTCCCAACGTAGTGGCGTGCCTGGTGTCCTTATCGAGAAGTCAAATCCCTGGGAGTCTCTGCAAATTGCAGACAGTCATTGAAAACCTCAAAACAAGATTTGAAGTTTTCGAGTTGATTTGTAGATCTGCGATTCAGCTTGCAACAACTGTTCCGACGTTACCTTTTCACTTTGCTACGCTGATTAGAGAGAGAAGAAGAGAAGAGATAACGATTGACTTACAGTTTTTGCAGAGTAAGTCGAGTACCATCTAATACTTTCCTGCAGTAGTCCACATCAACACATATCAGAGTAAGGTCCTAAACTGCGTTGAAAAAGGGCGCGTATCACAATAGAAAAAGATTAGGTTTAATACCCTTCTTGGTGTGTACTATTACAAGGTGTACACACCCAAAAATCCTTCTCAACCGTTTTGTAAAGATCCGAGCAATCTTTAGCTGCATCCACCTATAAATAAAAATTTCAAAAATAAGATCCCATGAAATTCTGAAATGTACCAAATGACAAATAAAAGTAGCAAAATAACTCAAAAATAGATATTGCATTTCAGCGGCGATCTGTGCAGAGACAAAAAATTTCAAGAACTTTCGAGAACATAACTAGGAAAAATATTAGACTGGGGCACTCACTTCCTTCAATTTTGCAGGGTCTTTCATGTTCACAGGATCATTGGCTGCATCGTTAACATAGCCCCTCTCATGTATAAGCTCCTTAATAATTTTGAATGCTCTGCACAAATACATGACCAATTGCAAATCAATGAAAACTGCAACTAGTCGCCAACTTCCCTGATAAGCTTGAGACTAACAAATATTTTGTAACTTCGTTTCCAGATCCTAAAGAAAGTTTATTTTCTCACTTCGCTATAACTCAAAATGTATACAGAACAATGAATGATACATAAACTAAGATGCGTTAATCGATGCATGGACATGAGATCTCTACTTCTATCCTTGACATCAGGGATCATCAAATGACAGCTACACCTTTCAAAGTTAGCGTAATAGCGAATAACTTGAGCTTGCCCAAGCACCATGGGAGTGTGTGATCCAAATCCCGCTGCAAACTCCTTCGCACTGCACGCACAAGCACTTCTTTGAAACTACGCAAATGAAGAAGATATGACAGGGTTATTGAACCAATGACGATTGTAATTAATAATAAGACAAACTTTGAAGGGAGTAACTAAGCCAAAATCACAAAAAAAAAAAAAAAAAAAAAAAAAAAAAAAAAAAAAACTCGAGAAGAAGCATATGGAAGCGCAAAGTAGAAATATCACATCAAATCTCATTTAAAAATGGAGGACATAGAGAACAAATTGCGAGCAGAAGCTTCATTTGCAGCTATGAGTTCGTACTTCAGCAAGTCAACCCACACTACGGAGTCACAAGGCTCTGAAATCTGCCTCCATTTGACTGCTATTGAGTAAACGTCTCTCCAGGAAGACATAAATGGATCCATTCCGTGATTATTTTCCTGTCCACTGCCACATTAACATCATATGTTAACACATATTCATAATAATTGAAGCCTGTCACAACCACAGGTAATTCCGGGTTCGTAAGACAATTACCCTTTTTTCATTGATCGCACAGTGCTGCTATTCTTTCGATTAGTTTTCCGCCCAGCCTTTTCTTTACTTTGAAAATACTCGTCTCGCTTTTCATTCATCGTTCGCCATGTGTATGCCACCTTTTGTGCAATTTCGATTGCAGCAAATCCAGCCATGCGTTGCTGTCAAGAAATTGTAAACGTCCAAAATCCAGTGAAAACACTCTTCAGAAGGTTTAGAAACGAGAGCATCATGATTTACAGATGCACGATTGTATGATCCAACGTCACAGGATCAGTGATGTGATATAGCAAGCTAGTCGCAAAACTTGAAGAAAAAGCTGAGAACATCGAGCTGTGCAACATTAAACACACTTAAAAACCTTCTAATAAACCTGTATAATTTGAGCATGACTAGCACCTTGAAATAATACTTGGAGAAGCAAAATTAGTAAAACATTCTGAAAAGAGACATCGATAATCCCGATTGACGATGGATTATAATTCAAAGTACCTGCCGAACATTTTTCAAAAATCCCGGTGCATCATACTGAATCAGACGCCCAATCGCCGCAGCTGCATCCAAGAGGAGCTTCTTACTCTTGGTAAGTGCTGTGTCCTGTAGTCTGAGACTCCCTTTCGACCTGTCCTTAAGTGCAGGCTGGGGTTTATACGCATGATAGTAAAAATCAGGTGGGAGCCTCTTACACCATGCTTCCTGTGGCACCAAAACATTCATACACTCGTAATGAAACAATTATGATGAAAAGGAGACCTATCTGCTTACAAGAGGATTCACAGAAAATTTTCACATTATCTGCACAACAATTCAGTTACTGGATTACAATAATCATTCAGAAGATCTGCGCGAAGTAGATATTACGACTAGGCGGCCATGAACTGATTCGGTTATGTTCAGCAACCACTGCTAGACATAGTTTCTTTGATCTGGCATTACAAGATAGCAGTAGTACAAATTGCATCATAGACTCACTAATAATCTAACAAACAAGACTGCAAGAAATAGTTTTAAAAGCCGCTGACGTGTTTGACTTACTTTGAAAATAGGGTTAAGATCACCGTCCATGTCAAATCGGCCGAAAGGCTGAGAAAGTTTAGTGACTGTATACAATGAATTCTCCTTCTGAAAAAACACCAAAAGAATGCAATGTAGATGGCCAATACAAAAATTATAACTTGTTCCCAAAAATCGGCATTCTGTAATTACTAAAAACTTTAACTCGAATGATTGTTTGTGTCAATTTTTACGTTAAGCACTGTTACTTTCAACAAAAGTTAATTGGCACAATGACAACTTATAAGATGAGTGTCAACAAACCACTAGTTTTTATAACTATTACTCGAAATTTTGTGATCTCTCATATGAATTAAACAAATAAAACAAAGGCTCCTCTTAGAAAATCAGATTACCTGATAGAAAGCCAAATACTGCAAAGTTCTGTTCTCTAAAGAATCGAGCTCCATCTCAAGTATGGAAGTGTAATCTGCAACCTACAAAATAAAAACATCAAAAAAGATTTATGTAAGCAAGTTCGAGCTTTTGCCACTGTTTCTCTGTAAGAGGAGGAAAATATGACCAGTAGTAAATTAACATCATGCAAATACGTTTGCACAAACATAGCCTGTAACACGCCTTTAACAGTACAACACTACTTAGCCATATGAGTGACAATTTCAAATCGTGGAACTGTGGATGGATGACTATTCATAGGCTACTAAAGACCTACTCTTATCAAATACTGCTACCCACTTGCATTTACTCTTCGTTCTACTTTTACTTGACACAAGAACGAAACTTACAGCATTCGTGAACTCTCCTAGTGCCTGGAAGGTAGAACCTCGAAGATAAAGGCACTCCATGGTGTCGGCGTCAAGCTCTAAGGCAGTGGTCAACAACTTGGCCGCATTTCTAGCATCAAATTTCAATTATTGTTAATTGCTCATCCTTTGGGTCATAAGCGATCAGAACAGCTAGAACATATTATGAAAGGTCTCATTATGTTCTGCCCTAAACTAGTGTTCAATGGAAAATTGCCTGCACGAAAAGAGTCTACAAATGCAATTTTAAAATGACTAACACTGATAAACAAATGCAAGTCACATTGAAAAGGCCGTAACACATCGTATTACCTACTGGTCTATAGAAAAGTGCAGAAGTAAGTGAGCTGGTCACATTTAATACCTGTGTTCACCTAGACCGTGCAGAAGGATTCCCCATATTCTATATGCACCTCCATATCTGTAGAAAATGGAGAGCACAACGCGTCTTAAATTATCTGATACATAAATATTATGCACACTAATACAGCATCTTGCATACCCAATAATGCCCAAAGGATAGTAAATCAAGAAACATTTATGCTACTTCCGCATCAAATTGCTAGGCTGCGACGTTTCAAAACTCAATCTCATGACATTTCAAAATCGAAGGTAATGAAATCAACTACATTCGCAAATCTGAAGATATACACACTTACTTCTTATCAATTTCGGTGGCCTTCTTCAAACACTCAACCGCCTTTTCAGAATCTGCCAATTCTTTGTATGACTGGCAAATGACATTTCAAGAAGAAGCACGTATTAGCATTACAAAACACGATTACGTCTTGATATGAACCCTCAAATACACGCCGTTCTTTAATACACGAGGCACCAGACATAAGTCAAGGTTGAAAATTTCGGAGCACTCTCAGCAAAAACAAGTCCTGGAGACAGCATTTGCGATTCTTTAGTAAGTACCTGCGCAAGATGCGCCCATCCTTCTTTAAATTTATTATCCAGTTCAACTGCCCTGCGCTGAGCTTTGATGCCGTCCACATAATTACCAGTTGCTGACAAGGCCAATCCCTACACACCAGATGATATTCATGGTAAGTATAAGGAACAGTTTGTCAGAAGGCACATATCCAATATTAATTCAGTGCATTCGTATTCCAAACTGCATCTTAGAGTCAACTTCACACACACACATCTATATATATATATATATATATATATATATATAAGAAATAACTAAAGGGAATTACCAGGTAATTGTACGCGTGTTTGTTATGAGTATCTTGAGCTAGGCAGCCCTTTAAATCTTCAATGGCTGCAAAGAAATTTTTGAGCTTAAAGTTGATAACACCTGCAAGACAATAAATATATGCCGTAAAACCTCTGGATAATATATTCACTCAAGATTTCCACCGAAAATTCCAGCGAAGTTAGACCAACTGTACGTATCACTAGCCCACACGACCAACTGCAAGCGTCTCTTTCAAGGAACCATATAAATACCTCTTTCATGCAATAAATCAGGTGTAGGCTCCAGCTGGACTGCACGCGATAAGTCCTCAAGAGCCTAGAACAAAATAACAACAATCTTGAGAAAAAATCCTCGGCTTTTGGGAAACTTTCAATCAGCCTCTTCAAAGGATCCTGGTGAACAAAAGCTTCTAAAAAGATCACAAGCAATTAGAATGCAATGCAAGCTTCAATTTCATAAAAGAAGCAAAAGAAAAAGGATAGGAGAAAAAATATGAACGATTCAATACTAAAAGGGAAATATCTACTCGTGAACCTGCGCAATCTCTCCACTAGCCGCACGAGCTTGTCCACGCCTTTTCCAAGCCTCAGTAGTTTTCGGATCCACTTCAATGGCCTGCAGCTCAAAAAGGATCACCGTAAAATACCGGTAGGTAACTCCCTGGATATGACCTCCAAAGTCCAAACGACTGATTTGCAAGGTGTTTTATGTGAGGTTAACTTTCACCAACTTAGATGAATACTAGCCTCCATACTAATCAGAATTCGCCAACCCAAGCTTAGGACAGAGATTGAAATTCTGTTCATATTGCTTTATAAATTGATTCAATTTCCTTCTTTAAAAATAATACATATCTATATATATATATATATAGATAGATATAGATATATATAGATATATATAGATATATAAAGGTGGCATAAATAGTGAAGGAAAATCTTTTAATTTGTTACCTTACTAAAATCAGTTATTGCTTTTTGAAGTTTTCTCATGAAAGCATAAGCAGTACCTCGTCCCAGTAACGCACCACACGATTTTGGATTCTCAGTCAGAATCTGTCAAAAAATACACTTCTCGGTAAACACAACTGTTTACAACCTTCATACACTTGATTCTCAAGATGCATCACATCCATACATGTCAACACACCAGCACAAAATATGCTGTATTCCTAAATCTCATCAAATTCTCTTAAAAACGAACCACCACATGGGCACCAGAAGATAATGTTTCTATAATAAAATGAACGATCTAAAAAGGGGCTTAAAGAAACCAGTATACCGAATTGAAGATGTTAACTGCCTCTTCGTAATTACCACGGTTCACCTTTTCAAAAAGCACCATGTTGTCAATGTCAAAATTGCAATATGCTTGGGAAGAAGCACTATCTTTGCCCATTACCTAGTTATCCATGTTCTTCAACAACGTTCTACTAGCATCAAAGAATGGCAAAGCCCAAAGACAGAAGTACAGAAGTCTCTAGGAAATTAACCTGTTGAATGCCTTTTGATAATTTCATGTCCACGGTTACAGAGAGCCTGTTCTGTCTACTTTTGGAGACTCCGTAAATGTGCTCCATTGGTTCAGAAGCTGATCCTGTGACCGTAACAGCACCAACTTTACTATTTCTAGTAGAAGAGTCCAAAGACGCTGCCTTGACAATGTTTGAGGTAGTTTCCTCGTTCTGAAGACAATAATGCAGAACGTCAGATGTAAGCCCATTTAAAAGCAAACATATTGCCAATCATAATACATGTTAAGTCCCATAAATGAGAAACCAGTACATAATACAAACACATATTATTACAGGATATACAATGTATTGCAAACCACTATAATAATTTTGTAAATCAAGCAAATTAGAGAGAAAGAAGCTCATAGAGGAGTAATATGACACAATTCCCATTAAGGTTACCTCGGATGATGCCTTCGAAAGCAATTCTGTATCTGAGTTGGCCTTCTCCAACCCCATAGCCAGAGAGTGCAACTGTACGACAAACGGCAGTTCTTCGGGCAAGCCAAGGGCAGATTCGTAACCCTTCTGCCACACTTGACATGCCTCCACATGCTTCTTTAAAGCAGCAAGAGCCTGTCCTGACCATAAGCATGAGGGTAAAAACATCACATTTATTCAAAATATTAGAACTACTTCACAAAATATATATCATCCGTATACATATTACATCAATATTAGCCTGCACCCACACAGAAGCGTAGACAATTTTCTGAAGTACGTGTTATCAATATATGTGTATATATATATATATATATATATATATATTCACCTAAACAAAGCATATTGTGATGAGAACTATGAACAGTCCGCGCCTTCAAGTGATCAGCAGGCAGATGCAAACAAGTTTAAGTCATAAGCCAGTCATTGTATCCCACTCAAACAGACAACGTTGATAACATAACAAAAACAGTGTAACATGTCGGCACCTTTGTACAGATAGGCTTGAAGCGTGGAGGGATTAATGGCAATCGCTCTATCGGCGTCTTTAATCACATGCTTGTGCAACTCCAGCTTGCTGTAGCACCAGGCTCTATTACTGCAACCAGAACCAACCCGTCGAAACCCATCAATCAAACACCCGAATAAAAACTGGACTTTCCCTAGTTATAATACATCCGCCAGAGACTCATAACATTCTCGTAACGCAACAACGTTAAAAAGAGTAAAAAGTTCGAACTCCTTGACTCATACTGTGGCTACCATTCATTAAAAATGAAATTGCCTTTACAGTGATACAGCACTTCAGAAAACTGCTGCTGAGCCAACTCAACTTCAAATAGCGATTTGATCACAAATAGTAAGTTGAGTACTGCAATGATCGTACCATATTGAAGCTAATATAAAAATTACAGTGATCAAACACGGTTTGCCTCATACGATCATTGATAATAAAATAAAAAAAATGGTGAAAATCATAGGCGTTGGCAATATACAATCAGTTGTCCGTCGCTTACTACAAATCTTGATCATATCAAACGCAACTTTGTTGTGATATAAGCGAACGTCTAAAACCAGTTAAGGCAAAAAAAATAATAAAAAAAAAAATAAAAAAAAGGGTGTTGCAGATTTCCAGATGCTTCACAAAAAGGAAACAGAAGCTGATTCCAAAGCGAGTGTGACCGTGGAACTCCGTCTGCGCGGATAACCCTAAAATATAAACTAGAAGGAAGGCAAGTATACCACAGGAGGAGATGCGAATTAGTTGTTTCAGGAAGTGACGAGATGATGCGGATTGCTTTAGACCACTCCTTCTTCTTGCAAGCCTCGACCACCGCCCTAAGGGACTCACTCCCAGAATTTTCTACCGCCGACGCCATAGCCCAATTTCCGTTGCAATAGGCCCAAATCCAAGTTCTAAAGATCATGAGCCAGCTTTGATGGAACAATGCGAATGGGGTCACAAGACTTCTTCTATCACATGGAACCGGATGATTTCCGTCTTTCACTGTGTATCCATCCAAATCATCTGTGCAAGGATGGACTTCTCAAAACATTCGGTATTTTTACTAGAACCCATTCACTTTCATGGCTGCGATGCTTACACTTCTCATATCTGCACACCAACTCAAGAAGTTGTACACACTGAATCCGGCTCAATCTGCGCTTCGTTTCTAACCTAAATTTTCACCGTGGGTTTTTGTTGGGTCTCCATCTGAGAGCGTGGTTTGATTTTCTTGGCTACGAAGTCGTAATTTTGTGTGCTTTCGACTTCCTTTTGCTTGAGCTGCAGGGATAGAGCCATATGGATAGCGTTGTAGATGGAGTGGAAACTATCAATCTCGTATGCACACGGTGAAACAAATTGAGGAGTGTCTGCCGTAGACAATGTTGTTCTAAGTATTTAGGGAAGAGGTTAAAGGAGTTGGAATTGAGGATGGAGGATGCCTTGCGCAAGTTAAGGATAAGTAGAGTGAATGCCTTTGTAGGGCTGTCTTCGTGTGGCGAGCATAGAATGGTAATCAGTGTATCTTCTCATTTAAATCTCAGTGATTTCTATAAAAAGTTAGAAACAAGAATTCTTCCCTTCAATAGAGATCCTCTTACTCCTTTAAAATTTCTCAGCTTACGAAGCGATGGCAAAAATGGGAATGCATTGAGGTTCAGCACAGAATTGTTGTCTTTGAGAGGTTCCACTAGGGGGGTTTGCGAGGCAAATGTGCAGAAATTCGCTGAAAACTTTGTCGTAGAGGACTTGGGGCGTGGGGACGACCATGAGCAGGAGGAGAATACCAATGACTTAGGACAAGTGATTAGAAGGGCTCAGTTCAGCGGATATCTGAAGAAAAGGAGGAAAGAACCACCGAACGACATATTGCATAATCTGGCTAAAGCGGTGGCGGTGCGTGTAGCATCCGAGAAGTTAAATTCAGATGAAGATGTCATGAAAATAGTGAATGAGACGGGATTGCGGGTGGACGTTCGCTCCATGAACGTGGTGGTATGGCAGCTAGGGCAGATGCAGAATTGGTATGCTGCTACTAAGGTCTTTCGTGCATTTCGAAGTGCTGGAGTGGAGCCAAATGCTTACGTCTGCACAACTCTTATTGCAGCTTTAGGGTAAGACTTACGCATATTATCTGGACTAATAGGTTTTCTCTTGACTTTTAAAGATTTTTGTGACCTTTCCTATCTAGAATTTTCTTCTGTCCAGATAGCTCTCGCTGCAGAGCAGTTGTGTGATTGGGATCATTGAGCTCTCTGGTACCCACGCAATTCTCTGCACGGGTTAGTTTTTAAGAGGAATTGTCTCTATATTTACGGAATTCGCAAGACTACCAGATAGAAAGCGACCAAGTTTTGTTGAATTGTTGTTTTCCCGAATATGAAGATGCGGGCGTAGGTTATCACAAGCTCTGAAGCTGTTCAGATGGATGGAAAAGGCAGGAATTGAGCGGCCTATATTTACCTTCAATGCTCTTATGGTCGCATGTGGCAGGGTACGATGGTTGGTTCTATTCTGTTAGCATTTATAAATAGTTGAGGTTGAGAAGTGAACTTTGGTCACATGTGAATTTTCTAGTAGGAGTGACCTCATCTTTGCTGCAATTCGAGATTTTACTGACACCTTTACGAGAATCCATAATCCCTTTGGAAGTGCTGACCCTGCTGATGTGAGACGCAAATTCATGACCCAGAATATGATATTTTCAGTGTGCATCAGGTGACACTGCCGTGGAACTTTTTGAAGAGATGGAGAAGTTAGGAATAGTACCTGATAGAATAACCTTCACAGGATTAGTTTCAGCAACCACTGCTGCAGGTCTATGGGACCGTGCTCAAAGCTTCATTGACATGATGCAAGTAAGTGAATGTGTTCTTGTTACTTCTTTCCAACCTCCTGAATAGTCACTTCTGAAGCCATGCTTCTCACATGACATGCGGAAACGTTTGTTAGTTTGGAGTTCATTGAGAAAATGATGCTGGTTTGCTCATGAAAATTATGATCAAATCCATGCGCAGGCCAGAGGATTTTCTATTGGATTGCACGAATACATTGAAATGCAGTGGGCGTGTGCACGAGCACGGAAGCCTCGAGAAGCCTATGGGCTTTTCCAAGTGATGCTAGAACAAGGTTACGAACTCAAACTGGAAAGCTACAACGCCCTCTTATGCGCCTATGAGAGAACAGCTCAGTGGGAGGATGCCATGAGAACGTTTATTTGGATCCAAGATAAGGGCCTTACTCCGGACGTTATGTCGTGGAGTAGTCTCATCAGTGCGTGTGCTAATGCTGGACAAGCTGAAAGAGCACTGGAAGTATTGGAGAGAATGAAGACCAGTGATTGTCAACCTAACGTCGTCTCCTGGTGTGGACTCCTAAAAGCTTATCAGAAAACAGGAAACTGGGAGAAGGCGGAAGAGATTTTTCATGCAATGCTGGATTCAGGATGCCCTCCTAACGAGGTCTGGGAATGCATATACACTTACTCTCTTGGCTTAAGGCTTTAAAGCTGTGGTTTTTGGTTGTGAAGCTTCGTGAGTAGGAACTTCCTCTTGCACGTGTTGTAATAGATGTCTTGCGCAGAGCAGGTTGCATGGTGCTCACTTCTAAGCGCTTACGAGAAGGGTCGGCAATGGAAGAAGGTCCTCTACACAATTGAGAAACTGGAAGAGCTAGGAATGAAGCTTGACGTGGTAGCATGGAGCACTACAATTAGTGCCTTGGCAAAAGCGGGGCAATGGGAGCTTGCGGAGGAGAAATTTAAGCAGATGACGAAGAGTGGGTGTCTACCGAATATTGTCACATATTCTTCTCTCATCAAGGCCTATGGGGACGTTGGGTTGTGGGAGAAAGCAGAATCTGTGTTCAAATTGATGCTACGAGTAGGTATTAGGTATAAATGTTCAACCACACTTAATTAAGCAATTTTGTTCACCTTTTTTTAATCTCCCTAATGATGGTCACCTGCTCTAATCTGCTCCATGTTTCCTGCAGGCCAAATCCCCAGGCTTGCTGTGCGCTTCTCCGAGCTTATGGCAAGGGGAAAGAACTGGAGAAAGTAATCATCTTTTTCGAAAGCATGGAGCCGCAATACGGAGTTGAACCTGACAAGTACGCTTATGCTGCGATTTTTTGGGCGTGCTGGACTTGTGGAGAGTGGCAACGGGCTGTGAAATACATTGATAGAATGGAAATGGCTGGCTGCACCCCTGACAGTGTGATATACACCACATTAATTAACATGTACGAAGCAAATGGGCAGATCGACAAAGCCATGCAGGTGCTAGAGAGAATGGGCTCCGGGAGCTTGATTTGACGGAAGTATCCAGTTGTATACACGTTGACAGCCTTAGGTGTGTGTACACACATTGGACCAATCTGCGCCTGTTACACACGTGTTGACAAAGACAATTTGGGTTCCTTTTTGCAAGTCTGTCAATTCCTCGTTAAATGTGGCCTTCCGCTGGTCAGAGATGCAGGAGTAAGTTCATGACTAATGCAAAGTCCTCAACAAAGTCTTGAGAAGTCACTGTAACAGATTCCTCTTTCGTAGGGTTGCCCAAGCGCTTCGTTGTGTCGATTGATAACTGTTACGATACATAAATTTACTATAAGTTTTACTGCTTAATCTGCAGCAATAGTAATATATACAGCTGCCACAGGATCATCCAGAGCAAATGTAGAAGCAAAACTCCGCAAATTGAAGATCTGACGCTGCACGGCAGGCAGCAATTGAAAAGGTTGCGACTGACAGTAAGCCACAAACAAGTACAACCTCCTCCCCTGGACAAGTTTCTCTCTTGGTGATTCAAAGTTCACCAATTCAGTCCCTTTCTGCGATCCAGACTGGTCGGACACGTTCACCAGCGCCCAGTTCAGGTACTGCCCGCCATCAAGTTCTACCATAACAATCGTGAACAAATTACCGCGCATCAGCGTAGCTCTTTCCTGCATAGCAGATTGCATAATGGTTACGCTTGGACAGCCATCAGAAATTTCTCGAAGATGCACGATATCACCGTTTTTGAGGGCTTGAACCTTCCCGTACTCGATGTGAATGCTGCATCGGGGTTTGAAGGCGTCCAGCATGAACGGGATCACCCCAACCATTTGTAAACTCGCGATCATGTCGTCCTCTTCCTCCACGTCATCTTCATAAACAAAAAACAAAAAAGGGGGGAGGGGTTAGCTGCCTCAATGTGGATATCGTGCAGAGCCTCAAACCCTCATCCCCAATCCATGAAGAAGACTCAGAGGTAGAATTTACTGGAGGGGGCTTGGTCCTGTGGGTCATCAACGATGAGATACTCCTGGGTGAAATCCACGCTATTAGGGCCAGGGATGATTGAGTCACGAGTGTGGTCGACATTGAAGGCCGGATTGGTGGATGAGAGGAGTCCATAGCCAGGCGCAGCACTGGGACTGACACCTGCAAGGGCACTGAGCAGGTTAGAAGGAAGCACCACGTCGCGAACTCCTTGCACTGCTGCGTCTTCAGCTGTGAAAGTGATTCCGTAGGAGCTCTCCGCGCCAATGTCTTCAGAACCGTCACTGCCGTCCATCTCCATGCTCTCACGACAAAAAAAATTCGTTGCCGTTGCGCAAAACTCGAATCTCGAAACCCACAACTTCTTCGACGTCCAATCTCCTGCATTAACAACCAAAAAAAAAACACAAATAAAAAGTCCCATTGCGATGAAAGTGCACCACTCTACTCAACAGGGCTTGCCTTCCCGCTCTGGGAACTCAACAAGCATTAAGGAAACAACCACTGCAATGTTCCGAACTGACAAAAACAAGCAAATCCACAAGAAAAAGCAGCACAGTGGAACAGTGAGCTCACCCTGGAGGAATTCTGAGGCGACCCAGATATTTCTTGGTCTAAACAAAGGCTAAACCTTCTCTTGAAACCGAGTGCTATTCCTATGGAATCTCTCAAGAGTGCAAACGAGAGGTACTAGTGTTGAGCACTGAAGCTTTTTTTATGTAAATTCAACGTCGGAAGAGAGCAAAACGATCTCTATTAGAAGCAAGCAGGGCGACACTTGGGACCCAAGTGCAGCTACCACGTGGGAAGTCTGAAAGCCTCCAGGGCTTGGCATGGAAGCATGAAAACTTGTGGACTCATGGTGCCGGTACTGGGTTCTTCATGCTCTTCACACTTCTTCACTAGGTTGTGTTGCTACTGATATAGAATCAAGGACTTCGTACTGCTTATTATTATTATTACTACTACTACTACTACAACTGTGGTGTGGGTTTGTTGACAGGAACTTAAATCTCTTCATGTCTGGCTCTATGGATATGGAATACATGGCATGCTTGTTGTGTGTGTGATGAACACGGGGCATTCATCACTGTGATTGATTGACACAGACGGACTGAAGCTCTAACAGAATTGGTAACCCTCTTTGCAAGGATTGCTTAGAAAGACTTGGTTGTTCACCTTTATGTGTGCTTTGGTCACACAAACCACCTATTTTTTTTTTAGATTCAGTACCAAATAATAGGGAACTTATCAAGTAAAAGGTGCTACTTTTAATTTACTGAGATTTGCTGTGATCTAAATATCATGTTCGTTGGCATCGAGTGATGAAAATTCAATAATATGACATTTGTATGGGTAGGATTAGTGTAAATTTTTCTTGTTGAAATAAATCAAAAGTAATCATTTCATAATTTAAAGTTGATTTGAAAAGTAATAAATATGAATATGTATGTATGTGAATATATGAATATATATATATATATATATATAGATACATGTGTGTCACCTTATTTTGAAGCTTTTGTGGATTCTATTTTTAGAATATATTATTATTATTTAGAAAAACAAAACCAAAGAAGTAGTTTTTTTGTTTATCGGAAGAAATTGGAATAGAACGTACTTAGCTTAATTTTAGGATTTTCAAAAAAATACACATTTTATGGATTGCAAGAATTTTTACATGGAGAAGATGTCTCAATGTTTTTTCCCATAACAAACTTCTTAGTTTCTTTATTTTTGAATGATATTACCATATTATGTATCAATACATTAAGTTGTATTGTTAATAATTTGGTCTACTTTTACATATGTTTTTTAGAAATTAAATATATAATGTGTAGAGCTTTGGAATAAGCCTCTTACAGTTGAATATATAAAAATTTAACAGAAACACACACACACACATATATATATATATATATATATATACATACATACATACATACATACCCATTAGATTTTTATTAAGAAATGTTACAAGGATTAGAATTAAGGCGACATCATGGATTAAGGTGAACAACTCAAATTGACATGGAAGTTATATTATTCAGTTCAATCGTGTCTTCTATTTATATTATTGAACTTAAACCTTGGAGAACCATCTTTGAAAGTGTAATGTAGGAGACTACATAAGCTTCTTAAAGAGTGGAAATATTAGAAGACAATAGGGTCCCAGGAGGACAGTATTGATTACATACACACGTTCAAAAATTACATACATTAATAATCACCATTCAATCAGTTAAAACTGGAGCCTACATGCCAAAACAAGGATGAAACTGAACGTCCATATTCAGCATTTTTGTTTTAGACTGATTATCTGTTACCAGTCCCTCGTTGGGGATGGAAGAAATTAATTGAGCAATGCTTGCACAGCTGTTTCTATGCACTCTATACACAACTAAATTGCCTTCGTGGAGAAATTAAGCCCTAAAATCCAAGTTCATCAGTCTCTACTGGCCGCAACGCACTGCTATCTAAGGAACACAAAGTCAGGACCACCAATCTACAAAAGCAAACCATGGCTCATCCCGGATAGTACACGATAATTCCAACGTAAACTTAAAACTCAAACTTCCAACACGCTCCAATCATCTTTGCACCACATTTGCATCTGAATCATTTGCTTGATGCTCACTGCTTCTTAATGCTACTTAGATCACTATGGAAGACACCACTAAGCCGATGCAGCTACAGCATCTCTGTGGGACTCTTCAGTTCCTGCTTTCGCTCTCTTGGACTTGTAGTCCTTCACCGCCGCTTTGATAGCATCTTCAGCAAGCATGCTGCAGTGCAACTTCACAGGTGGCAGAGATAGGTGCTTGGCGATGTCACTGCAGAAAGTTCACACATCCCCACCATTTAACTTATATCCTTAGGAACACATTTGTTCTGAGGGCCTAAGACACACTGCGGTAATCCATGCCAACCAATTGTAGCGAACCACCGGGAAGATACTAGCCCCATTCATGTAGTTTCTTTCGACAGCAATTCCGGAGGGACATCTTAAATAATTGGTATAGCAAATAATTTTTTAAAAACTACAAGCGGATATTTTATGCAGCACATCCAAAATAAAAGCAGGTCCTCAAAGGAAGGCTTATTTACCTGTTCTTAATGCTCACTGCTTCTTCCATAGCCTTCCCCTTGATCCACTCAGAAGCTACGAGCACGATAGATAATCAAAAAAGTTAGCCTCAGAGCCTGTGTTTAACATCCAATTTACAAGCACAAAATACTGATCATGTCGCAGCAGTTGGAGTTGAATACGAGATTCCACATTTCTGCAGTCAAGTGTGCAAGCAAAACCTAGTACAAACCATTCTCTCGACAACTCTGCAGAATATCCAGTGATAAGCTTTCATTTCCAAGGACAGATTCAGATCCTTCCGACCTAGGCAGAATACCCTATCGTATGGTTGAATGGTGTAGCCAACATACCAACAGACGACGAAGCAATAGCCGAACCACATCCGAAGGTCTTGAAACAGGCATCTATAATTTCCCCGGTCTTTTCATCGACTTTGATCTGCAGCTTCATAACATCTCCACAAGCAGGAGCACCTACCAAGCCAGTTCCAACATTAGGGTCGTTCTTGTCGAATGACCCAACATTCCGAGGATTGTCGTAGTGATCTACAACCTGGAATTGTTATCCTCAACGTCAAAATAAATCCATAAAAGTTCATGTACCGTGATACAGATGAAGAAATTTGCACCTAACTTCACCTATTATCAGATACTGAATTATTCATAACTAAACCCTAATCTGAAATTTCAACAATCGGACTTCCTAACAACATCGCAGCAAACAAATTTTCCGAAAGTCCTAAAGGGATTTCAGAAAACTAGCAAGCCCACGTTAAATGCAGTTCAATACATACCTTCTCGTGGTAGAACCTCTGTCCAGATACAAGAGATACCCGGCCAGCTTGTCCAGAAGACGCCGCCGCCCTCGCGATTCCCTTTAACACGTACGCCAACATGATTCTTATCTGCGCAAGAAGAAACTGAGGCACACCCACACAAACCATTCAAATTTACGACTCTCGGTGCAACCCAAAAAGCTACAAAGAGAATTGCACAACCCATCGGCACAAATAGCATGCAAAATGTGAAACAATCACAAGTGGCGCTACAAAAGTGACACACAAAACCAAACCAAACCAAACAAACGGAAACAATGTCCTCCGCAAAATAACCCAACAAAATCTCTAAACCCTATACCAACCAGAGCAATCAATCAGAGGTGGTGAATTCAGAAAACCTCGTTGCAATCCTTGCAACCATGAAACGATGGGTATGTAGTGCAGATTGCAAGCAGAAGTAAACTGCAAGAAATGAGAGGGTGAAACCGCAGCGACAATTTGAGGCTACGAAAGAAAGAAAAAGGAGAATAAGGTATCTATTTGATAGATTCGTGTGTATTTAATGTTTGCTGTGTGCACGTTAATTGTAATCAGAACACTTCTTGTTTACCGAGTATCAGGATTTAGGGTTTTGCCCAGATTTTCTTCAGATTTTGGTATAATCCTAAACAAGGATTTTTCGATTATAATCTACAATCTTGTGCAACCTCTAAAATTTACATTGACTAAACATTGAATTTTGACTATGTTTTCTTTTATTTCTTTTTTCTTTTCCTTCTACAAACAAGGGGTTTCTCTCTTTGCTATATTTAATCACACAAAGTTGGGATTGTATTGAAGAGAAGTAACTTGTAAGCTATTTTAATTGATTCAAGTCATTGTCTTCATTTGGTAGTCTATGGTAATTGTGCATACTTAGAATTTTGTAAGATTATTTATTGCCTAGTAATTAAAAACATTTTGATTGTACTCCTTTAAATTATTAGATAAATTTTTATCTATTAAACCTTTATTACATATCTAAAATTCTAATCCAATCAAATTCTAATATCTTTCAATTTAACCATTTGATTGACTTTAAGTTTGCTTAATATATTTAAGACAAGCACATTTACGAATCCACAAAATTTTCATGCATTCATTGAATGATGCAATTTGGAGATATTGGTATTGGGAGATTGGCACCAAGCTCAGAGAAGGAGGCTAGCCAATACTTGAGTGGATTTTAGAGTTTATTTTCTATTTGGTAAGTTTAATCTTTTTCAAATTGGTTGTACTCATTGTCAACTTAGTAATCAAGAGATGTGCAAAATTTGAGTTGAAATTGACACTTTGATTATTAATTATTGACGTTTCAATCTACTATAGGATTAATAAAGAGTTTGTTTAAGATTTAAGGTTTTATTAGGATTTCATTTAGGTTAGATTAGGATATGATTAAGTTTTAATTAAATTTAGTTTAAGAGTTTTTTTTGAAGATTTTATTAGTATTTGATTTAGAATTTAAGATTTGGTAAGGATTTGGTTTGGGATTTTGGATTTGATTTGGATTTGATTAGGATTTGGTTTGGTTTTTTATTTTTAATATTTTAAAAGAATAATTTATGTTTTTTATATTTCTTTTGTAATTTCTTTAAGATTTCTATTGAATTTGATTAAAGCTTGTTCAGTATTGTTAAGGTTTATTTGGAGTTTGTTTAGGATTTTATTAGAGTTGTTAAGACCTTATTGTAGCAATTTCTAATTTATCTTCTACAACCAAGTATTTTGTGTATTTTTAATCAAACTTCATGGAATATGACAACATTATCATGTACTAACACGACTATATGGTGAAAAATAAAAATATGGATGTTATTATTGAAGAACCTAGTAGAAAGATATAATAAAAAAATAAGGATAAAAAATAGGAAGGTAGTAAAAACTTTAATCTTAATGTTGTTTTTTTTATAGAATTTTTTTATTTACTTTGTAGGACCATAAATGAGCCAAATCAAAATAAATAAAATAATTAATTAATATAAGAATATTTAGGAAAAGATTAAAAATAGGTTTTAGCAAAAAATACCTAAAAATATGAAGAATTAATATCCAGAGATGACTAGTTATGAATCAAGGTCAAAATCAGACCCCAAGGCACAAAACCATTCATCTATGGAGACTCCAAGGTTCTTTGGTTGATCAAAATGCAAAATTTGAAAGCAAGCAAGAGAGAGGTTCTTTGAGCTTTGGTTTCAAGTAATTTGGATATGTAACAAATTTATAAAGACTTTGCAAAGTTATGGTTGTTTTTGAGTAAATTTAAATTTTAAGAAATTCAAAGCATTTATACTTTGGACAATTGTGTGAAATTTATCAATGATCTATAGGTGAAATTTTGTAATAAAGTAATAATTATTGTGTATAAATTTGTATTCCAAGTTTGAACTTGATCTAATGGTTTCTTTAGTATTTATCAAAGCTCAAACATATTGAGGTCTCGCAAATTGGGGATTAAAGGACTAGTGAGGGTTTCTAATATATCCACCAAATTACCAATTGGATTGAAATAAAATTTTGCGCACAAGTATTAAACATGACTCCTAACAATCATGCAAAGTTTGAGACTTGTTGAATGGTGAAATTAAGAGATTTTGGCTCTAGAATATTGGAATCAAGGTTAGAAAAGGAGGCCAACCAACACTTGAGAAAATTTTAGGAATTTTCTTCTATTTATTATGTTCAATCTTCTTCAAATTTATTTGTGCTTGTTGCTAGCTTAGTTATTTATAAGTATGCTAATGTTTAGTCAAAATCAATGATTAAATCATTAGCTATTGAGATTTCAATCTATTATAGGATTATTATAGTTTATTTAGTACTTAGGATTGGATTAGGATTTCTTTAGGATTTGATGTAAGATTTGGTTAGGATTCATTAGGATTTTATTAGGATTTATATAAAATTTGATAAAGATTTACTTAATATTTTTTTAGTATTCTTTATTATTTATTTAAATATTCTATTTTTAGTAATTTTAAAAGATTTTACTTATTTCTTTAGAATTTTTTTATTACTTTTCTTTGAGATTAATTATGACTTCTTTATGTTTCTTTTATAACTTCTTTTAAATTTCTTTTGAATTGGTTAAAATTTCATTAAGATTGTTAAGGATTATTTAAGGTTTATTTAAGACTCTATTAGATATGGTAGGACTTTGTTGTTGTGTTTCTACTTATCTTCTACAGCTAAGTATTTAATATATTTTGAAGTAAAAATATATGTAATATAATAATGTATAAAATTTTATCCTATTAACATATGGCCTTCAAATCATGTGGACATGATATATTTAAAGTAATTATTAGTATATTCTTTGAAATCTTTTTAACAATATGTCTTCTTTATATCTTGATTTTTAAAACTTAAATTCTTTTTTAAAATATCATATTTCCTAAAGTATAGAATTTCATTACATGGACAAATATGAATTGTTACTTAATTAAGTTTAATATCCATGACTACCATTTGTACCTCCATCTTTGACTTCATCTTTGAATCAAAGCTTTGGTCAATAATATCGTCATTTATTGTATAAAGAACATTTGTGATGTATTAATTTTTTATTCTTAGGTAATTTGCTTAGATTCAAAGAAATATCATTATTATTACTGACTTGCTTGTCAACAATTTAATATAGATTAGTATTGTAGCTTCTTTTATTAAGTAAGTGATGTCTTATTCTTCATCAATTTATACATCAAATTCTAGAAGGATTGGCTTGAAGCCCACCTAATTAATGATTTAATTTTTAATGACTATATTAAGGTGTTCATCCATTTCCTTTAATCTTATTTGCTCAAATTCCATTAGATCCTCATGTTAAGTTGCCTCATGCAAATCCAAAGTATAAGATAGATTGAAGTCACCAACAAATTATTGATTTTAACTCAACCTTACTAAATATTAAGCCTATCACAATTCATTGTATTCTCGAATAGTACAATCAAATATGAAGAAAAAAATACAAATCCTTGATTTCATTGATTAAAATCATACCTTTTTAATTCAATAAGATCAACAATCTAATTTTATTTTTAAAATCATCTATTAATAAAAATACTCTCATCAAATGTCATTATAATCATATACAATCATCATTATAAATTCTAAACTCTAAAGGTTTAGGATTATCCTTACATGAATCATTATTAAATATCATTATTATCAAATAGATGCATCATTGAAAAAAATAAAGATTGTAGAATCCTACCATTTTTTCCTAGAATTTGATCAAAATAGAAATGAAACAAATTTAATAAAATCAATGGCAAATGGATGAGAATTTTGAGCTCCAACTTTTTAAAATTCTTTCCATAAAATATAATGCAGTTGCATATATAAAATCAACAATGAAGTTTAACAATTAGACAAATTAAATTTTTGTGATATTGGTAGTAAGAATAAAAGAAAATGTATTGGGCCTAAGTCAATACATGGAAGAAAAGACCATCATATTGGTAACTCAAGCACTATCTTGCATATACACATAATTAAAGGTCAAGGCCATTAACACACTATCTTATTATAGTGAAGACAAATGAGGTAGCACACAAAAACATTAGATAGTAGCTAAAGAATGGATAACTTATGGAAGTGTTCAAAATAAAAAAAAGACTAAAAAGTGACTTTATTTTGCCATATATACATGATCTAATTACTCAACCAAAATGCATACTTAATTGTCTCAGTCCTACTCCTTAGTGTCTTGCTTTTTCACTCTTATTCTTCAATACTTCTTTCTTCTATGCCTATGATTATTGCAAATTCTAACTTCCAAAGATTTGAAATTATCTTTATCTTCCATATAATTGTCACAAATTACCAGAACCAAACCTCAAACCAATAAATAAAATTAGATTTTGAGTAGTTCTACCATAATAAGAAGTCCAAGTAATAACTCTACTACCACTATATTCATCTTATGGCAGTTTAATTAATGCTAAAAATAATTTTAATAACTATTCCTCTCAATATCTATACAAATGATTTTAATAAGTTTAGACTCTTATTTTAAAACACTTACAATTTATTATTAAAAGTGAGTAAGAATGAATTTTTAGTTCATACAAATACAAAATTTTGGAGACAAATTTGGCCTATTATAATTCTCAATGTTTTCTATTAGTATAATTGAATATAAGAAAAAAAATACAAATTGCTAAAAAAAATATAACTATACTTTATCAATTATATAAAATTAATGATTTAGTCTTATTTAAGAGATTTTACATAAAAAATAAAAAATAAAAAATACTCTTATTGAATAGTATAATCAAAGTATCTATTTATATATTTAATAGCATTACAAACCTTAAATTTCAAAGGTTTAGGATTTTCTTCAGCTCTTATTTGATTGCAATAAGTCATTACAAGATTGATTTAATAACAATATATAGAATTAATTTCAAGCAATTCTATTATAATGAAAAGTCAAAGCAATACTTTTTACACTACTTCAATCATCTAGCTACAAGTTAGTTAGTGTTGAAGACAATTTGTTAATCTTTTTT